TGAGCACACAGATTGTCCCAAGTTTTGCCGTGTTGAGTGCTGCCACCAGCCACTCCAGTTGAGGTTTTCAATTTTGTCATCTGGTTCTGATCCTGTGTAAGGGAGAGTACCAAGAACATAATACTTTTCCATTCAGAAGGAGCTTCACTTTAATTGTGAAAATTCTGAGAGTAACCAAAATAAGCATTTTTTAAAAAAATGTATCTTTTGGGGATAGAAACGACAACAGATAAATTTTTATTTGGGTTTTAAAGCTATGTTCTGTGATTCTGAGTGATTCTGAGTTACTCAAGAAAAATAGACGTCATGTGTGTTGAGATGCTTCCAGGAGAAGCATATGCCAGCACATAGCTTCTGTAACCTTTGAGCATGCTTCAGTGAAAGCTTGTGGGAACGTGAAGGGAGCTGTGTGCTGCATAAGTCACACAGATGCTGTAGGCTGTGGCCAGCAGTGACTGTTGCTGCCCAAGGTGCTTTTCAAAGGCACAGTTCAAGATACTGAAAAAAATAATTCTGCATAGTACTGCTTGGATACAGATATTTGCTTTCCTGTTTTTATTTAGGTAGGTTCCAGAAAATGACCCCATCTGGCATGGGAATCTGCCTTCACAGTTCATTATACAATAACTAGGACAGGCTAAAACTTCTTAGTGGTGAAATGGGTGGCTTGTAACATAACCATTCCCTCTTACCTTGAGAGGGAGGGAGGGAGAGACAGAGACAGTGTGTGTGTGTGTGTGTGTGTGTGTGTGTGTGTGGTGCTTAGAATACTCTAGCAATAAAAGCTTCAAAGACAGTGCTTTCCAAATAGGCTCTTATTTTGTTGTATAAGAATACCAAAAGCTTTAATAGGAGGAAAAGTGGGTGTGTTGTATATTTTTCTGAATGTTGGAGATCAGTGTTGTTTGATACCCAAGGAAATCAGGTCATATGAGGAACTGGCCTTGAGAATACATAGCCTGAGTCATCTGCAGATGACCATGTGTTCATGTGGCTGTCTGAGCTAAAAAGAGCATTGTGTCACTGAGACCACCCATGAGCCAACAACCGTTGTTCATCCATTCTCACTTCTGGGGATTTTTGCTTCTAATACTCTAAAAACATGAAGCTTTGGTGAGGAGTGGGTAGTTGCTTACTTGCTTAGTTCTTTGAGAGACGATCTTACTGTATTCAAATTTGTGATCCTCCTGCCTCAGCCTCACAAGCACTTGGATCACAGGCATGTATGAGCATACCTGGGCAATACAGGCTTTTTTAAAATTCCAGTTTTGTGACCATATTGTATGATCAGTTAAACTTGAGAACTCCCTTTTAGAGACACGATTTTAAAATTAGGCTTGCAGCTTGACACTTTGTTTGGAAGAAACCAGAACATGAAGGGAATACACTTCCTGCCGTGGTTCTCATAGTCAGTGCACACAGGTCACTTTCTGTGAAACACATATGCCAAAGTTAACTTGTAGCTGTGTCATCTCAGAGGTTGTGTTCTTTGTGTAGAGGAGACATTGTCATCATGACATGCTGTTGTATTCAGCTGCAATTTTTCCCAGACAGTTCTTCGGTACCCAGATTAGAAAAGGTCTATCAGTGTACACTGTAGAATGCATGGCCATCCAAAGGGAAGCAGGGGGAAGTAGAATTAGGGCATCACAGAAAACAAGAACCATTGTTATTTAATATATGGACAGTCTCTTGATTCTTTTAAGTAGAACTTCATTTTAAAATCTGCTGACCCTGTCTGGAATTCATACGATTTGGTCGTAATTCTTAAAATTCCTGGTTATAGACCATCCCACAAGGACACTGGAATACAAACCTGTAGTGTAGTCTAGAAAAATCTTTGGTAATACAAATACACAGGCTTCTGGCAAATGGCATCTCTCCTAACCTCAGTTTCCTTATCTTTAAAATGAAGAGGCTTGAACAGATACACTGTAAGCTGCCAGTAGCTGTTAACACTCCATGACAATAAATCTTTACTGCAGTCAGCACCTGGCATTGAGTGTTTCCTGTGTGCTAGGCACTGGTGGATAGTTTCCTGTGAGAACCCTAGGGCCAGCTTCCTGATGCTGCTCAGATCAAAGGGTGCTGCTTAGATGCTAAAGGAATTGGGAAAAACTAAGATGAGTAGCACAGAAGGAAGAGGCGCTGGATAGTGAGGGTGTCAGGAAGCAAAGAAGCCAGCTGTAATAAAGTAAAGCCCTCCACATGTCTGCATCTTCAAAATGGCCTCTGATGGTAGGCTTTGCAGGACAAAGTCTACCAACTGCCACACACTTTTTTTAATTAAAGCTGCCACCCTGCAACCTTAATCTTTCAGGATAAGTTTTCCTCAATTTAGAAGGCTAAAATTCCTAATTGCAGACACACCATCTATCTCAGCATGTATACCAAAGCCAAATCTTGATTGCCTAACACAGAAGAAGAAAGGTATTAGAAATTCCTTTAGGACTGTTGTGTCTTTGTCTAAGTGCTTTCTGTCTAGTCTTGTGTTGGAGAATTCGGTGGCTGTTTTCAGGGTAGCAAACAGATAGTGTGGAAGTCATAGTTACTGAGAGCTAGTTACGTTACCTGCCCTGTTGAATAAAATGGCAGCTTTTGTTCATCCAGAATATTGATTGCTTATTTACTATTTGTCAGGTATTTTTCTAGAATCTAGACATTCAAACTAAGAGATTCTCACTGTAAGCACACATACATGCACACACACATACACACCTAAGAGGTTCTCACTATAGTCATACACACAAACACACACTCATTATATAGATGATTATATATATATATATATATAAACTGGCTGTCTTGGAACTCTCTCTGTAGATCAGGATGACCTCAAACTCACAGAGATTTGCCTGCCTCTGTCACCCAAGCGCTGGGATTAAAAACACCATCTGGCAGGGATTTTTAAAATAAACACATCAGTAACCCACTGACCTTGCTCAGAACCTAAACACTTACTTGTTTGCTCTTTATTTTCTATTGACAAAAACTTATTGAGTCATATCAGCTCGCCAGTGGCTAAAGAGATAGCTCATTTGGTAAATTATTGCCATGCAAGCCTGAGGACCTTCATTCAAATCCCCAGTACCCAGGTACAAGGCTGGGCCTGGTGGTGTGTGCCAGTGTTTTCAGCAAGGGCAGGATGAATGGATGGGAGACAGCAACAGGCAAATCCCTGGAAACTCCTGGGCAAGCCAGCCTGAACTATGTGCAGAAGGTTCAAGGGATACTGTCCCAAACTAAAGGGGGAAGATGCCTGAGGGCCAACACCCAAAGTTGTTGACTGTATACCCTCCTACATATGAATAAATATGTAGATATGAGAGATTAAATCACATGTAGGTATGCACATGTCTGTGTGTACGTGTGTGTGTGTGTGTGTGTGTGTGTGTGTGTGTGTGGGTGTGTGTGTTTTTGTTACATGTTTCTGTTTCTGTATATAATACTTACTTGTGTATGCTCCTAAGTGACACAAAAGCCAAGCAGGCAAATAATCAAGAGAAGTCTGGATTTGTGTTCACATGTTTGTCAGGATATTTGGTTGGAGAGAAAGTAAAGAAAGGAAGACAGGGGGGGGTCAGAAGATGAAGAGAAGGAGAAGGGGGGGAAGAACAGTGCTTTCAAGGAACCCCACCCAGTAGGTGGTCACTTTTTCCTCACTCCAGCTCTTCTGTCTTTTCTATATCAGGTGTACTACTATTCATTTCAAATCAGACAAGAAAGAAAAAGTAATGTGGCCATTAGAAACATTGTTCTTCACGCCTTTAATCCCAGCACTCGGGAGGCAGAGGCAGGTGGATCTCTGTGAGTTCGATGCCAGCCTGGTCTACGGAGCAAGTGCCAGGATAGGCTCCAAAGCTACACAGAGAAACCCTGTCTCAAAAAAACAAAATAAATAAATAAATAAATGAAACATTGTTCTTGAGTGCACCCACAGCTATGAGAAAGAACATTTGCAGAAAGTCCTTCCACTACAGAAAAAAATTTAAAATCTCAGGGAATTTTTTTCCCTTTGCTGGTTAGATGTCCCTTCCAAGAATCACCAAGCTGCCTCATCTCAACCTGCTCCCCTTACCAAGAAAGCGGAAGTGGTCATAGCCTTTGCCACCAAACTATGGGTGAAGTATAATTGTGCTACCTCTGTGAAACAATGTAGGAGCAAACCTCTGCTGGACTGAATCAAACAAGCCACGAATGCAGTTAGCCCAAGCTGTGAGTCATCCATGGACTCAGATTAAAGAGCTGTGTTGTGTTTACCTTTCTCCTTATTTTCATTGTAATTGAGAAGATTGACTTTGTTAGCTCTGGCACTGTGTTCTGAGGGGGAATATATGGATTTCAGGCATTGACTCCTTTTTTAGCGTTGCCACATCACAACTGTAAAGCAGGGGGACAATGATGGTTAATAATGGTTTTGATGTCTGCTTTGTCCTCCCTGTACAGTTTGCTTTTTTTTTTTTTTTTTAAGGATAGGATAAATAGAAATCGTTAGATGTGTATTGGCTAAGTAATTAAGTCCTTGAGTTTTAGCTTCAATAGCAAAGGGACAGAAATTACTGTAAGCTTTATCTCCAAAAGAAATACATTTAGGACTGCGTGTGTGTGTGTGTGTGTGTGTGTGTGTGTGTGTGTGTGTGTGTGTGTGTGTACATGAATACAGTGCCAATGGAGACCAGAAGAGGGCCTCAGATCTTTTGGAACTGGAGTTACAGGTGGTTGTGAGCCACCAGATGTGGGTGCTGGGAACTAAACTGTGGTCTTCAGGAAGAGCCCTATAATCTCTACTACGGAGGCATAGCTCCAGCCCCAGCACAGCTCTGACTGATTGCTTGTCATGGTTATGCAATATTTTATATGTTTGTCACCATGCTTCACTGCTTTTTTAGATGAAGGTATGGAACATGGTACATAAAACCTAAGTGTCTATGGTGGAAATGTATGGTAAGAGTCTGTTTTCTTTAAAACCTTGTTTTTTGTGACTTTTTTTTCCCCATTAGAGAGCAGAAAGACAGACTCGAACTATGGATTCAGCTCAATATGCAGAATTCTGTGAAAGCCGACAGCTAAGCTTCTGTAAGTACACATGTAAGTTACAGATATGTGAGGGATTGTTCCTTAGAAACTGATGTATTCAATATATGATGCTGCTTTAGAACTGTTACAGAAACAGCATCTGTACTGGAGAAGTCTGAAGGTTTGCTATGTTCTCCTGTTATACAATCAATCATGTTAGGAGATTTGAGAGCATATGCATACACAGAAAGCCATAGAATTATTCATACAGGCTTTAGTCAGATCAGTTACTTTTTCTTACTATTCTTACTTCACTTCCCAATTTCTTAGTCATGTTTACTGAAGTAGTATTGCTGACTGTACTGGCCCATCGTGAATATTAATAGTCAGGACATTTAAAAGCTCCCAATATTAATTCTAAACCCTAACCCCCCCTTTATGCACTCTCATGTTTCCACAAAGTAACATCTCAATAGTGCGTTTCATTTTGTCCTTAACCTTCTCCTGTAGCATGCACTAAGTGCCAGCCAGTATTATGAGTCAGTGCTCCTGCCACAGGAGTGAAGCAGTAAAGTCAGTGCCTTCCCATCACTGAACAGCAGTTGCTGAAAAGTGCTTAAGACCCTCACAGTGGGTTAGATTGTGTAGCAACAGCCCAGTGATGACTAAGGTTCTTGGGCTAAAGGTCAAAGAGAAAGTGCAATGAAAAGTCCATTTAAAAATATGACAAAGTCACACATGACCCTGATCTGAGAAGTTATAGAAACAATGATGTCTTTAAATGAAAAGCAATTGTGTGGTCACGATAACCATGTATTTGATTTGGAAAAAGAAAATGAGAAAAGCATTTTAGATCATGAAGTGCAAATAAATGACACATTTCAAATAGCACTGCCCCATGCAAACATCAGTAAAATACAAGAAAACATGTTTTGGAAGATTTTTTTCTAACAGAATGTATTTTCCAATCTGACTAACAACTTGGCATCAGACATCTGTGAAGCATTAAGTAAATGACACTTCAGATCATGGCAATTTCAGCAAATGAAAGGGTTTTGTATGGTAATTTGGGGGTTTAAATACGGCATTCAAGTATTTTATAAGCATAAATCTCCAGCTCATAAAGTAGCATTTAGTTCAGTTAGACTATTTTTTAAATCATATTTTAAACTGAATTCACAAGGAGAAATGGAGTGCCGCTCCACACTAAAACTGATGGCCTCAGTCTGGTAATGCATCTTCATTTGAAAATTAGATTTTGTTACTTCTTTTCTGTTGTTGAAGGGAGAACAAAAAGCTATAGTAGATGAAACTTGATATTTTCTCCTTCTGATAAAATTGCAGATTAAGCAGTATATTATGCATAATTTTCTTTTCTGTGGAGAGAAAGGATTTTAGCATTAAAAATATTTGCTCATATAGTATCCGTGGAAGCCTCATTATGAACCCTGGGTAGAAGAACCTGTTTTCTGTGACAGAAATAACAAAGCTGAGAGGGCTCATCCCAGCAGATCCAGAAGCCAGCCCTGGGCAGGCAGGGCACTGTGTTCTTTGCAGTCTCCTCCTTCTAATGAATTATCAAGGCATGGGAACCTTGACCTGCCATGTGCCTTATTAATTATCTGTTCATGACAGTCCCTGGGATCACTAGTGTTGTGCATACTGGATGACATCCACATGCACACTGTGGCACATGTACACATGACTCCCATACCCTACACAGACAGATATTAGAAAGTGGTAAAGACTGGACTCTAGAATTTCACTAAAGAAATATATTTTTGCTGTGCAGTGATGGTACACACTTTTAATCCTAGCACTCAGGAGGCAGAGGCAAGCAGATCTGTGAGTTCGAGGCTAGCCCGGTCTACAAAGTGAGTTCCAGGACAGCCAGGGCTACACAGAGGGACCCTGCCTCAAAAAAAACACAAATGAACAAAACAAAATACAGATATATAATCATTTGGGAATTTGTTATAGAAATAGATGTGGTGAGTCTGTTTGCACCAAGTATTTTACTCTCTGGGAGTGCAATGGGTGCTTACATTTCTACATTTTGAGTGCTTACAGAGACACTGCTGATTCTCTCACACTGTGGCAGGGTGGAGATGTGGCTTAAAAACTAACACTGAATCCTTTCTTACCTTTAAGACTTTTGCTCAAAGCAGTCTCCTGCGCCTCTGCTTTCATAATGTTCTGTCAGAGGGAGGTGGGGATAAGGTCCATTTTATTGATCTTGCCAAACTGCTGCCTCTTAACTTGAACTTGAGAAGTAATCCACAGATGCTGAACAGAGCTTGTGAGCCGTTCCAGCTTGCTAGTTACATGGAATGGTGCCTGTCAATTTGTGAAGGCGGTTACTTTAGAGAGATAGCTTTAAGGGGGATTATCATAATTCTGCCACTTTGGACAGCTTTGGACATGTGCTTCAATAGCAGGACTTCATGTCTCTGTGATTTATGTAAAAGAAAACTCTCCTGTATGTGGAATGCATGAGAATTCTGACTAGAGCCAAACATCATGCTCTGAGTGGAGACTTTGACAGACCAGCAAAGCCAGAGTAGTCAAAAGGATAATTGGGATTTTTTGTTTTTTAAGATTCCCTTACAGACTTGATAAAATCTTACTATCCACATTTTCCCCTCTAAATGACTAGATAATTAGTAATGTCTAAGCAAGGCCCCATGTCAGTTCTACTCTGCTTAGTACTGGGGCAATTACAGTGTTTGGTGATGGATAGTTTTGTTTGGGTTTTTTTTTGTTTTGTTTGTTTGTTTTTCAAAACAGGATTTCTCTATGTAGACCAGGCTGGCCTCAAACTCACAGAGATCAACCTGCCTCTACCTCCTGAGTGCTGGAATTAAAGGTGTGCACCACCACCCAGCCAATTACAGGTATTTAATGAAAGGTTGTATGCTGCTTGTTTCCATATCTGCATGATACGATTAGTATCCAGGAACTTCAGGCATATTCTCTAACAACAAGAACTTAAACTGTGGTCTGAGAAATCTATGCATACATGAAATATTTGTGGTTACTTCCATAAATGATGTAAGACGTTTACCTTTGTCCCGATGGTCAGGATTGGTGTGAATGAAGAAGAGTGATAGAAGAGCAGACAGAACACAAGGGACTAGACTGAAGGCCAGCTCAGTTTCCTGGTGATAAGGGCAGGTTGCAGTAAGTTTGGTTTTTGGAGAGTCAGGCCTAAGAATTAGAATATATCCATAGTCAGCAAAGACATAAGTACAGGTTTTCTTGGGCCAGCAATGGTTTGTTTAATTCTCAGTTCACAATTTTGAGCCTATTTTAGTAGTAGGCACCTTTTGAGAAGGATTGGAAATGCAGTTTCTCTGTATTCCTTCATCACAGCTTTTTCTTCCAAAATTTTATTTCTGTAAAAATAAAGTTGCATAGAGAAATCAGCTTTTCTCTGATAATAACTAAAACTCTGGCCAGTGGTAACATAGTCTAGAGCACTGTGAGAAATACAATGGTGAAAAGATATGGTGTATCATGCTGTCCACCATAGAGAGACTAGAAGGTGTGATGTTCCATGTTACCCACCGAAGAGAGATACAAGACCCAAGGGCGTGAGGGATTTGTGGAACGCAACCATTGTATTGCTTCTTAACCAGGGTTTCCAACTTAGATTTCTTGAGACTAAAAATAAAGTAGATGTTAAAAGAACTTCCCAAACATGGTTTCTATGACTGTTATTTCTTCTATGCAGTTTTGAGAAGTGTTTCCAATTTCTGACAGTCGTACAAAGGCTAAAACACATTAAAAATGAAAACTTTTCACTTTCTTTTAAATTAATAGCCAAAAAAGCTTCCAAATTTCGAGACTGGCTGGACTGCGGCAGTATGGAGATAAAGCCCAATGTTATAGCTATGGAAATTCTGGCATATTTAGCATATGAAACAGTGGCACAGGTAAGAGTCTGAACTGTCAATCCAGCTACTCCTGCTGATCTCTCCTCCCTGGGTCCATGGCCAGTTCTTTATCTGCTACTCTAGCTGGAATGAGAAGAGCATAAATTTTCTCCTGAAACACATCATATTCTAGAATTTAGCTAAATTATGTTTCTTTGTATCGCTAGTTCTCAGGGCTTTAAGTTTTTGTTTTGTTATTTTTTCTAAGAATACTGTTATTATACATGCACAAACTTAATCTAGTCTCCATTCCAGCTCTCTTCCAGCTGACATGCAACACTCCTACCCGAGGAGCTTTTGACAGTGATGGCTAGAGGGAGAGAGAATCAATTTTCTTTAAGGTTGTCCCCTGGTAGGTTTGCCATGCCCCAGTGTGTGGCCCCACTCCCAGGGGTATGCAGTCAGCACACAGTGGACTAGGGTTATTAAAACAAAAAAGGAGAAGGATGGGGGTAGATCTGAGAGGAATTAGAAGAGTTGGGAGTGAATCCTAGCTGAATACTTTGTTGGCATATATGAAATTTTTGATGAGTTAATAAAAATGTCTGTTCCTTCAATTTTATCCTAACTATATATGGAATGCCCACTTTTTCTCGATGTTGAAGACTTACGTCCTCAACAGACTTTTTTTCTCTCTCTTTCTTTCTTTCTTTCTTTCTTTCTTTCTTTTTCCTTTTTTTTTTTTTCCTGGCACTCACTCTGTAGACCAGGCTGGCCTTGAACTCACAGAGATGCACCTGCCTCTGCCTCCTGAGTGCTAGGATTAAAGGCGTGCTACACCAACGCCTGGCTCCTCAACAGACTTTTTAAATAGTATGTTTCTGATTTTTTAACAAGTGGCCGCCAAAGTCTGTGGCCCCTTTTATCTCTGGGGATATGGGGGTGTAGGATCATGACTCTCCAGGTGTGGTCTCCCCTAGGTATGGTCTCTAGGCCACAGAGTCAGCCTCTTGTTAGCCCATTTTGAGAATGGAAACTCCTAGAGTAGCCTGGGATCCCAGGACTCACAGTCCAGAAATCCCTGTTTAAAATGTTCCACTGTTGATAACAAAATGAAGTTTGAAAGTTACTCCCTTAGAAAATCAAACATGCCATTTGTGATTGTAAATTGGTCCCATCACCAGTCAATGAGAGACTGTGTTCATGTCCAAAATGGATGGCAGACAGTATTAGTATCAATAACCTCTGAGTGTATTACTGATTGCCTCTTCTGTGGCATTATGATTCTTTCCAACTTTGTCACTTTGTATTTGTTACTCTGTTCTTCAGTTAGTGGATCTGGCTCTTCTTGTAAGACAGGATATGGTATCCAAGGCAGGGGACCCCTTCAGCCATGCCATTTCTGCAACCTTCATTCAGTATCACAACTCTGCTGAGGTGAGTATCAGAAAGTCTGAGGAGAACACAGCTGTGTATTTGTTCCATGTTTACATTAGTTCTTGTTTGGAAAATATTGTATAGAATACATAGCCTTTACTCAGAGAATCTTAATACAGTGACCATTTCCGCAAATGATGATGGAGCATTTACTGTGCCAAGCCCTGATGATCCACTTGATATGATAACTCTTTTTACCCTTGGACCCCATTTTTTTAAAGAATACCATTTTTCTTTAAAGAATAAATTAAATTAAATAATTAAATTTAATAAATTAAAAAATGAATTCTTTTTAAAAGAATACTTGTCTTTCCTAGCCCTTCAGTGACAGTTGGTTGCAGATCCTGTCTTACTTTGAGACATGTGAAGTGAATAACTAGTCTGTATAGTTACATGATAGTAGAGAAAGCTATTTGTAGCTCAAATGATAAGAGTTGGGGTTTGGCTATAGAACAGTGGTACAATTATTGCTTAGCATGCAAGAAATCTAGAGACCCCAAGTGAGCTGGGGCAGGCAGGTATTATTATCATGTAACAATTCCTAACAGTTACTCATAACCTCTCATATCATTCACTGATTTATCTCAACAATAATTTATCTTCAGTTTGAATATTGGCACCTCTTTTCTGATCAGGTTTGTGCTGCTAGGGCCTTTTCTATAGGGACTGGGAAGTCTCTGCATGTGTAACCTTTTGTACCACTTTCAGTTTCTAAAATATTCTCTAGTAGAGCAATGTGCCTGAAAGCCAGAGAAGAAACAGAACATGTTGAATACATTTGTCAATATTTGAGTTTCTTAATAACAAAAGCAGCAGTATCATATCATTCATACTAATAACCCTAGAGAGGAAAGAAGACAGATTAGGTTCACATCTGCATGTGTACTTATGAAGTGAGTTTAGATCAAGTTGGCTGGAATGTATAACCTGAACACAGCAAAGCCCACTTAATAGCACACGTCTACTTCCTGTTACTATCCATGGATGAAGATGGTAACACAAATCACTTCTAAGATACAAATGTGATTTGCTTTATGCCAAGGACGTTTTTTGAATGTCTGAAAAAAAAACTATAAATCTCTTTCTGGGTACACATTTTTAGTGTAATGTTGAGCTGCTCATAGACCCCTGAAGCCATTCTATTAGTCTGTTCTATTACTCACCATGGACCCCAAGTTGTGTATACTTAGTTACAATGCTTAGGACCTGTACTTGTGATATCTGCTGATATAGCATCTTAGAAACAAGCCAAAAGTCAACTCAACTTCTTTTCGTAGCCCTTGGAGAATCAGATTGGCTTGAAATCCAAGTAGGGATTGAAATGTTTATGCCCATTAAAAAGGTCATACATCATTATCAGTCACCATGCTTTAAAACTTCCTAAAGCTTACTTAGTTGATTAAACACTCTTTATTTTCTTTATGTTTTAAACCCCAATTATGATGTCAAAGAGCGCCCTTTGCAATGTCTTTGATGCTTTATAAGAATGTGTATAGTGTGCTTTCCATTAACATCAGACAAATTTGTTGTAACATTTCTAATTGAGGAAATTTACTGTGAACATAACAACCTAGTTTTCCCTCACCATTCAAGTGATTGCTTGCAAGTCTCTGAAAACACCCCAACATCCCCATCCCTCTGTCTTGGTTCTCCAGGGTGGCCGAGCCACCCTGGGCAACTACTCAACAACCACAGGCGCTTTTCCCAGCTAAAAAGCAGTTGAAAAAAATGTCCTATGTGTACTGGGTTTCTGAGCAATCTGGGGAGTGGGAGCATGGAGTCTCAGAGAGCATCCTGACAGACTGTCAGTGTCAGCCTCAAGCTTTTTCCTGGCCTGACATCCACCCCCCCTCCCCTGTGACTGGTAGTCAAAGTAGACATTCATAGAGACTGTCTCCCTTCCTGTCCTTTATTATCTGATAAAACACAGAGATAATTCCATGCTAAGGCAGAATTCTCACTCATCAGCATTGCAAATCAGCAGCCAACATGAAGGATTGTGCCAAATATGGACCAGAGGTGCATCTGGAGAATGACAGTAGCAGGGTTAAGGGAGATTGAATGATTTGTAAAAACAAACAAGCAAATCCATGAACAAGCACAGAAGCCAAGCCTAGTATATTATACTGACTTCCAAATGAGCCACCTAGAGAATTAAAATAAATCGCATGTGTGTGCATGCATGTGGACATCAAAATGTTGAAGGTATGGAAACTGGTAAGAGGAAACTGGTAAGAAAGGACATTCTGGGCCTCAGAGGCAGCAAAAGAACAATTGTGCAAGGGATGGAAGTAGGTAATTAAAAACTCATTAAAGAGAATTAACAAGAGGTTCCACTTTTAAAACAGTTTTAAAGCCTGGGATTGTATATTGTTACAGACTACTGAGAATTATCAAAGAATTATCAGGATCTCAGCTGAAGGTTGATAAATTCAAAGAGATGTCTTTAGGAGATCCTGGTATCAGTGCCAATGCATTGTAATCAGTCACCAGATTGATTGGGTTCATCTTATCTGAGGGGACATCATCCTTAAACACTAAACGCAGCAGGAAGCGAGCTGGTTCCTGATGCTAGACCAGCAGATGTAATAGCAGTGGAAATAGTTACATTTTCTTTTTTCAGCATATGGTTTACACATGTGTGAGTATGATCCCTTGGAGCTACACAGATATTCTGAAATATTTTTTTAAAAACTCTAAAATCTAAAACAAAACTGATCCTAAGCATTTTGGGCAAAGTATACTCAACCAATATTAGCTTTACTGTTTCTTGTTTGGTGGTGTCTCCAGACAGTCTGATCAAGGAAATACTGTTGAGAACAGTACCAGAACTTCAGCAAGGGCCCTGCAAAATCCATCATTTATTTTACTATATTATAGAGAATGGTTGATCTATGGAATGCGTGGTTAGTGTGACTAATAGAATGAGGAAAGGCTGGATAAGACTATATAGGAAAATGACTTAGAGAGCTTTCCTGTAAATTTCTTAGAAGCCAGTATTAGTATATGACAAGAAAAGGTTTTCTTCTGGCATTTAGGCACCACCCTGTTGAGAGCACAGAGGTCCTTGCGTTCACAAATAAGCACTTGGGAAACCAGGAATTCTGAAGACACAATGTTGTCTCTTCAAAAGAAGAGATGCACAACCTGTTTTCTTCTCAGAAGGCCAGAAGTGGTTAATAGCCTAGGTGTTCTCTACCCTATCTGTAGGGCCAGGCCATACCCAGCTGCCCAGGCATTTATCTGTGATTGCAGGAACCTCTGCTTCCTAACACCATCCTATAGGATGTCATTCACCTAGTGAGTGTGTGTGAAGGGAGTTAAGAAGGGGATTTTGTCTGCAATAACTGGCTCAAAGAAGTTAGAGTAATTGAACATGGAAATACAGTTCTTCAAATATTTGAGATAAAATAAATAACAGGCTTATAGTCCAAATAAATAGAGTAGATTTAGGAAGGAGAGAGGACATTGCATATAGGATAGATGGGAAGACTCAGTGATCCTAAAATGAAAATTTTGAACTATGGGGTGGCATACTATGTCTAAAGCCATCTAGCTTGGGGAGAGTTTAGAGATTCCCTTGGAGACTTGTAAAGTTAAAATACAAGCAAAAATCCCATGGTCTCCGACAAAGTTAACAGATTTTTTAGAAGCAGTGAATGTAAAAATTTTTGTCTGATTAATTAGATTAAAAATTATCATGACTAGAACTTTAGGGGAAAGACATCCATTTCTATGGAACAGATAGGAAAATTTTAAACTATAATTAGTATTAAATGCAAAAGCAGGAAAGATAATGTATTGCTAGGAGGTCTGGTCAGTTCATTTCAAAGCCTTGTGTCTATGCAGGGGGCCTGTTTGAAGTCCTGCCCAGACTCTCCTGAGAACACACCGCCTCCTACACCAACAGCTCCCTCTTCTGGATCACAGCATTCCTCGAGAGCCACATCTGGGTCCTTGGGGAATGGGAGTACAGGACAAGACTCTACTAAAAGCAAACAGAGAAAGAGGAAAAAGGTCAGTGGATTTTGTTGTTGTTTGTTTTTGTGCTTTGGTTTTGGTTTTTCCCTTTCTGTTTTGATAGAGGGGAGAGAAATGATTTTGGGTTTTTGTTTTTGTTTTTAAGAGGTGTGTGTGTGTGTGTGTGTGTGTGTGTGTGTGTGTGTGTGTGTGTGTATGTGTGTGTGTGTCTGTAC